AGAAACCCATTTATGTAGATATCTAAACCATTTAGGTTTTATGATTAAGGCTGTTTTTAATATTTGCTTAGATATTTAAAGTATTGTATAAAGTTATATATTCAATTTTTAAACTAAGCTTTTAATAGAAAAGGCATAGCTGAAAAATTTACAGTATATAATTCTCAAAGTTGGGGAAATGTAGTATATAAACTCCATAGAAAACATTTATGATGAAGTATTGAATAAGGTGCATATCGTTGTCTATAGCAGCTGGTATTTGAGATGGGTTAGGCCAACCTGGACCCATCCCCAAAAGATAAACAGGGTAAGACCAATTTAGTGCTGGAATGAGCAATTTTCAGGAAATTCCAGGACTGTTGTTAGATTGACCTTAAAAAACAAAACAAAACTGGAAACAAGGAATGGTAATAACATTACTGTTGCCATTATTATTGTACATGAAAATCATCAGAATCAAGGTTGTTTTGTAAAAAGCCTAATACTCGTTCAGCTACTTTTCTTCATTTTAGTTGACAGCTGGAAAAGAAAAAAAATAGCCTATTCCATTTTACTTTGCTGGCATTTGAGCCTCTGAAATACAGGTGAGATTCTCAGTGTATGGACTAAAACAGTTTGATGAAATTGCCTTGAGATGTAAACAAGGCCTTGTCGGGCAGAATAAATAGACAAAGCTCTTCTGGGTAGGAATAAGAATCTCATCAAAAGAAATAGTAAGTTGTGGTATCACATGAGATCTGAGCATGTCTGTGGTAAAAGAGACAAGAGTCTTGCCAAAGCAAAAAGTTTGTGTTATGAGGAAGCCCCAATTCATCCTATAACAACTACACATTGAGAATTTATTGTCATGTTTATTGCATTACTTTTCTTCCATCTAGCTGAGAAGGATACTTGAGGCTAATTCATATTTTAGTCATTCTTATGGAGGAGCTGCAAGCCCAGGTCCAGTAATATGGTGCTCAGATAGGGGCGGGGGGAAAGCAAATGAAACTATAGTCCACGGAATATATTTAAAGTCTACTGCTCTAAAAAAAACTATGGACTTGAAATAAAATGAATCAGTGATGCTAGATAAGCTTATTCATTTCCCAATAATATTTCTGTCTTACTTGAAATCACTTGCAATCTGGAAAATGTTGGCTTAAAGTTCTGCTTTTTAAAGTATATTTTCAAAAGGAAAAAAAAAAGAAATTTTCATGCAACAAATGAAAGTAGAGGTTTACATCACTTTTTATTTACTAGATCAGGGATGTCAAACTCACAGTGTCATGGCAGCATCACATGACATATCGGGACTTTTTTCCTCTTCACTAAACTGGGTGTGGGTGTGGCCAGCACATGATGCATCCGGCCCATAGGTCGGAGGTTTGACAGCCCTGTACTAGATACACAGAAACATCTAACAATAAGTTCAGATTAAATAAGGTTAATAGTTTTGTATCTTCGTTTGTTTGCTCCTTCTAATCAGTGTTGACTTTTGGCAACTGCCTAAACAAGTCCCTGAAGTTGTCTTGGCAATATTTGAGAAGTGGTTTGCCATTGCCTATTTCCCAGGGCTAAGAGAGGGTGACTGGCCCAAGGTCACCCAGCTGGCTTTTTTATTTATTAAATTTGTTTGCCTAAGGTAGGACAGGGTTAACTACCAGTTTGGACATTTACGAGGTTCAGAGATTTACAATGTGCTTCCCTGCATGCTGCCGGCGCACCTGTAAATCGTCATTAGCATGCTGCCTGCAGAGAAGCAGCCTTTCAAAAAGCCTTTTTTTCCTGCTTTTTTAACTGCAGCTGTGCCTCGCAGGGCAGCTGAAGTTGAAAAAAATCAGGAAATAAAGGTCAGGTAAGAGCCCGGGTGGGCAAGTTGGCAAAAACATCAGCAGACATAGAACCAGTCTTCAGAGCTACCGGTTCTACAGAGGCGGAAAGAACTGGTAGAAACCCACCCCTGACTATAACTCACCATATTCCAGTTTCTAGGCTGGGGCCTTAATCCCTACACCAAGCTGGCTCTTTTTTAAGTAGCAGCAGTTAGTTATCCTGAGACATTTTGGTTGCTAGGTTTGCTAACAATCCAATTATTTTCTGCAAGGAATAGGAATTTATTTATTTATTTATTTATTTACTTACTTACTTACTTACTAAAAAAACCAAGTTTTCCACCAAAGAAGCAGAAATGGAAGGTTCCAAACTTATGCAAGTCACTGAGAAAAAAAGGCAGAACTAAAAGTTATATCATTATTGACTAATCTGCATAATTTCAGTACCCAGATGATCCTTTATGTCAGGGGTCTTCAAACTTGACAGTTTAAAGACTTGTGAACTTCCAACTCCCAGAATTCTTCCTCCAGTCAGGTTAGCTGAATTCTGGGAGTTGAAGTCCACAAGCTTTAAACTTGTCAAGTTTGAAGACCTTTGCTTTATTTCAATACTATCCAACCGTTAGTATCATGCAATAAGAAATTATTTGCTACCTTAATCCTCTGAAGTGAAATGTTAACTGTATGACCAATTTCAGGGCAATGTAACTTCAGGAATAGCTGGATGTATTCCAAAGACCAACACATTAGTGACTATGCTTACAATAGGGGAAGTCTCTTGCATATTATTTCCATGGACTACCTAACCAGTTGTTTCTGAGAAGTTCACAAGATAGGTAATGTCGGCCACTCATCCTTATTTGCCCTCTGGCATGTGGCAATCACCGAAAGTACCACTTGACATTTCATTTGTTTGCAGTAGCTGATAGGCACTAATAGATTTCTCCACCCGCTCAGAATTTGCCTTCTTGGCTTTGACTGAATGTTTACATCCAACTCAAGTTGTTGGCTCACTCTGAAATCCATATGGGGCAGAAAAGGAAACCACATGCTCAGATTGGCTATCTGATCCCATGCTTTCAAGCTTGAAGAAAAAAGCAAACTAACTGAAGTGCATCTGGGCAGAACTATCCACTTCCAGAGGTGACCAGTGATTACTTTTCCAAAATGAAGCAAGCAGCTTGCAACTTGCAAGGTTCCGGATATAAAACAGAAATTGGCTAGTGGCCCTGTGGTTATAACGAGTGGTTTAAGAACAAGCTTCAATGACTTTTCTTACCTGGTTCTGGTGCAGAGATGGTAATCAGCAGGTTCTGACCAGTTCTGGAGAACTGGTAGCAGAAATTTTGAGTAGTTTGGAGCACCAGCAAATACCACCTCTGACTGGCCCCCACCCCCATCTATTCTCTGCCTCCCAGTCCCAGCTGATCAGCTGGGTCTTCTTTTGTTGCCCTGCACAGGAGAACGGAGCTGGAAAGCAGGTTAGCTGGGTGGAGAGGGAATGAACTTTTGCAGTAACCTTCCCTCAGGAGTGGGGAGGGAATGGGGATTTTGCAGTATCCTTCCCCTCTCACGCCCACCAAGCTACGCCTACAGAACCGTTAGTAAAAAAAAAATTGAATCCCACCACTGTAACTGGTGGGAGAACAGAAGGGTTGGTGGGTGGGGAATGGATTTAAGGAAACATTGCCCTAAATCCTAGACAGTGGAAGGGATCAGTGCTTGCTTACTACTGGCCACAACTTGTTTAATTAATTATTACTATTTTACTACTCCTTAGGAAAAGAGGAAGCTCATGGGGGTGTTGAGAAACCTCACCCGGGATACGGAGAACAAGGCAACGCAGCGCACAGCAGACGCGCCTCGCCAATTCAGCCCCACCACCAGCCAGGGGACCCGAGGGCGTCGCGGTGCCCCGGGTCAGCATCCATCCACGTGCCGATTCCCTCCCGCGCCTCGCGATCGACGCAGGCGAGAAAGCAGCCAATGACAAAGCGGCGGCTGTCCAGCTGTAAACTCCGCTCGTCCCGCCCTCACCTCGCACTCTAGACAGGCACGCACGCACGCACGCACGCGCCGGCCTTCTGCCGCTTTCAAGGAGCGCCGCTCCCGAACTCGCAACAAGTCGGCGCACAAGTGGAAAAACAAAACAAAACAAAACAAAACTGGAGGAAAGGCTTCTCGCAAAAAATTAGGCAACGTGGCGCGCGTTGTTTTTTTTTTGTTTTTTTTTTAAAAACCTTTATACACACACACACACACACACACTCCCCCTCCCTCTTTTCCCTGACACTAATTTCTGGGTGTCTCATCTGAGCTCGGGGCTCCCTTGCAAAGAGGAGCGTTTTCTTCTCTTTTTGGAAAGACGGAGAAGGGGCGAAAAGCGCGAGGGACAAAACTAGCGACTCCTCAATAAAGTTTAAGGAGGTTTTTTTTTTTTTTTAAATAAGTTTTAATCGGCCGCGCTGTCGAGCGAAGTTTCTCTTATTCCCCCCTCCCCACCCCACCCCACCTCGCCCCGTTGTAACTTTGTTGCGTGAACAAAAACAAAAAGAGGCTATATAACTTTGAGAGGGATGGTTCTCCTCTGACTAAGAAAATAAATAAATAAATAAAGAGTCGTTCAAGACGGCACCTTCGCTTTGGAGCCGGGGGAGAGAATAAACATAATCCAGAAAAGCAGGAGCAGCAACTTGTAAGAATCGACCGAAGGAGACCGAAGGGGAAGAAGAAAAAACAAAAAGGAAAGAAAAGGTGGGTAGGATCATTTCCCTTACCTTTTTCCCCCCCTTTCGTTTCTCTTTCCTCTCCAGCTTCCCCCAACCCTTTTTCTTTTGGCGGCCACTTAAACCCGTTAGGGGGGAAAGGCGCGTCTCTTGGTCCCGTGGCTTTAACCGCGCTTTCCTTTAAGCCTTCAAGTTTAAGGGAACAACCACGGCGCGGCGGGGGAGGGATGCGAGGGCGGCAGGGGGAGAAAGGTTGGCGGCCGAAACAGAAAAGCCGCTGACCAAAGGGGCGGTCTCGGTTAGCCTGACTTCGGTGCCCGGCGAGCGGCTCTCCCCAAGTCTATTTTGCTCTTCGCGTCCCGGGACCTGGGCGTAGAGGGGGCGCGCGCGTGTTGTTTTGGGTCTCGAGGGAAAAAAACACACACACGCGCGAAGTTTTCCTCAGAGGGGCGGCTCTGTTTGGGAGGGACGGGGAGGGGTGTTGTTGTCGCGGACTCGAGGAGTGCTCGGGTTGCCGCCCTGGTGCTTCCCCCCCCCAGCCCTCTCCAGAGGACCGAGGATATTGTAAGTAAATGAGGCCTCTTCGGAACGAAACGCCGCATCTGAGAAAAGTTCGCCTTGGGTCTTTTGGCCAGAATTCCCAATTTGCCTGTGCTACATTTCCCCCACCATCTCGGGTTTCTTTGCCTCTTCCCGTCGCTTAGGGTCGCTAGAATAACAAAACGTGACATAACCGGTAAGAGAAATCAGACGGCCGCTTTTGACGCCCTGGGTTGGGTTCCTCCTCGCTTTTCGGCTTCTGGTTTGCAAAGGTCGCTTGTTTATCTAGCGTTGTGTTTCTTTACTGTGGCTCGACTGGACTTGCTTCAAACCGGGACGGAGTTGGCGTTTCGGCAGGGAATCGTCGCTGTAGGTGGGGTGGGGTCGGGTGGGTTGAAGTGGGGGACGAGGGAAAAAATTGTGAAAAATCTCCCAAACTCTGGCGGGGGGTTATGAGGTTTTTTTTCTTTTTAAAAAAAAAATTACTTGTATTTTTAATTGGAGAAACTCTGTGCCAGCCTTTTTGGGAAACAGTCGGGTTTTTTTCTTTTTCTGCCCTAACTTGGATTATAAATGTTGAACCTAAACCGGGCGATACTTTGTTGCATTGAAAACCTGGAACTTCATGTTTATCCTGGAGAAGTAAGTTTGCCATGCAGGGCTTAATGAGGAAGTTTGATTTTTAGAGTTCGAGTAACATAGGAAATTTTTTAAAAAAGGAATGTAAGCTGCTCCACCTGCATTTTTTGTGAATAGGTTTAAAAAAAACCCCACCAAACGTTTATGAGCGAATTTAAGCTTACAGCTACAAAACACATAGTAAACTCCTTCCCTTCTTTCAATTATTCTGAGCAACGGAGGAATTGACTTTGTAGATCAAGTTGAGTGAGGTGCAGTGAACATTATACAATCAATGAGTTGTGTTTTGATCTTAAAATACTACCACGTGGAAGACTTTTTTGTGGTTGGTCCTCCTTGAAGTAATAGTTATTTTATATTCAGCCCCTTGGGCTTTAGCCATTGATGTTGCCTTCTCATTTAGATGCTTTGGTATAAAAGAAAAAGGAAGAAAGAATGCAGGTTTTATGACAAAACAGTATGTCCTGGATCTGGAGGATCTCAAAATTTAGCATTTTGTGACAATGCTGCAGATAAATAGTGACAAATTTAATACATCAAGCTATTTTGTCTGTTATTAGGGCTATTGTATGTTGCTCTTCTACTTGCAACTATTTCATTATGCAATGACATTGGCATACGAAGTTTTTACTTTCCAAAGACAATGATTGTTTGGGGATTTTGTCCACCTGACAGAAAATTATTGTTAGTAAAACTGATCTATTCCTGTTTTTATCTCTGCATTGTTAGAATGAGCTAAGGTTGGGAAAATGGACAGCAGGCAACATAATTAGACCTTTTGAAATTTTAAAATAAGTTTACATTAGATTATTAAGAGAAAGATTGATTAATTGATTATTTTTCATAAATGAATGTATTAGGTAGGTTTGAGTCCAGTTCCAGCAGACATAGGTTTCTCTGCACTTGAGACTTTTGTATATCCTTTATTTTCCGGCCAGGCGTTTGTGATTAGGGAAACAGAGATCCAAGCACTATTTTTTCCCTTTAATTTATCAGCATTGCAAACATAGTCATGATATAAATATACCATATTTCATTCTAGTAGTTTCATTAAGAATGCAAATATATTTCTTAATTTCACCCAGTCTGCATTTTAAAAATGCTTGGCATTTTTGTTTAAGAGTTTTTATTAAACACTATCCCATCAATTACCAATATTCTGTTTTGTTTGTGGCAGTGTTTTTTAAGGTATCCTTATTGTAAAAAATATATTTGTTATAAGTATTATTGATAATGGAGTATCTTTATAGTGAGGTATACTATAGAAATTAAATAAATAAATAAATACAAGCACTAAATAATACTTTTTTTCTAATGACGCAAAGCCACAGTAATTTTGAATGTTTGTGTAATAGGAACTTGTTTTATGGTAAGAAAGAATTGATTGATAAAATTCTAACTCATCTAACTCATTTTGTCATCATTTTTACTCCTTATTTGTACAATTTTTATACTTAGATATTGTTATTCCTCTAATAATAGACTTTTAAGCTCTATTTTTAACGAAAGAAATATAGAAGTTCTGATATCAAAGGAATTTTTAAAAATGAATATTAAGCACCCCAGTATTATTAATACTACCGATGGGAATGAGAGATGTACAGAAGCTTAACTATAACAAATAGCACCCACCCACCCCTAAAATAGGTAAATTATTATATACAATATTGTAATCATTTGAAGACTGCAGAACCAAATTATTTTGCAAGTTATCATGGACAAAATCTACTGTTGTGGTTATTTTACAGAAGAGGGAAAATCTACATATGAAAGTGAAGGTTGATTAGATGTTTACCTTCTCATTTTCAGGTAATATCATACCTGGGACATAATTGTATTTATTGGAATGATTTTTGATAAAGTTCTTGGTGTAACCTTTAAAAATGAAAATATCCAAACTGCTTAGAGGGCTTTTTTTTTTTTTACAAGAGGAGTTTATTCGGCATACTTTTATATAGCAGCTGCTGATCATATTTCATAGAGCTGTTAAAGCACTTAAAGCCTAAAATTAGGTTCTGCCTAGTAGTAAATATTTTCAATTGCTGCTTGAAGAAATAAATGGATGAGTTATTCTTTAAAATCCATCTTTAAACAAAAAGCAGGTACACTTTTAAAATTAAATAAAAAGAATAGCTGAAATTTATTTTCTTGATGTAATACTGTATGCTTTTAGTCTCCTTTGAAAAGTGAGTCCACTGCAAAGAAACTGTTAAAATATATATTTGTTTAGTATTTTGTAATGCAATTGTTTCATTATCAGTTTTACCTTCAGTTAACATTTGTTTAAAATAAATAATCCACAGTGTGGAACATATTCGTCTTTTTTGTGCAATGAAATCTTAACTGATTTCCCAAACTCACATTGCAAACCTGTGACAAATTGAAATTGTTATACAACAACGTCAGAAATCTACATATTTCCATACTGTTATATTTACATTTTCATTATTTTATTATGAATTAATGCAAATATCATTGTATAAATCTGTTTATAATGCCAAGAATAAATAAGTATGATTTGAAATTTGATGTCAAGCATAATAAAATATCCTTTATTGACACTATGATTATTAGCAATAATAAGCTCTACATAATGTTTTATATAGTACACTAAAGGCATGAACATTTTCATGGCTTCAGGCTATATCTTGAGAATAATACATAAAGGTATTGTTTATAAATATAAATTTTTTTTGCTCTGGATAGCAGATAGTTATCAACAATACTACATTGTTTAGCAGCAGAAATTACTTCATGAATATTTGATCACTGATTTAACTGTAAAAGGAACATTTTTACTAGGAATTCTTTTCAAAAACTGGGTATTTAGCTGAATGAAACTTTTGCATATTATTAAGATACTATTAAACTTAAAGTATATTCATAATATCTTATTTTGATGCTTCAAACTTTCTTATAACATGTTCTTTTAAAATATTTTTTAATCTCATTGTTTTGTATGAAATTATGATTTAATAATCCATCTGGATACTAATCATATATTTGTATTTATTTTTCTTCAAAACTGGATATAATCTTTTTTTTAAATTCTGTGCTTCAGGACATCAGTGACAAGATATTTCTGTATGCATTTTAAATTATGCAAGTTTATGCCTGAATCCTAAACCTTTATGGCCTATTGAACCAATCAAGCTGTATTAATCAGGGCTTGACATTTCTGTACTTCAAAAATATGACAGTCAAAAGAAATTATACTTCATGGAATAGTAAGCTATGGCAATTCTTTCTCCCCTCCTCAGCTCCCCATATCAAAATGCAAGAGGAACAAGAGAGGTCCTCAGGATAAGACCATGACTAATAGTGGGATCCAAGTGTAACAATCATTTTCCATTTAACTTCAATATTTAGACATCTAGAACCTTTTGGATTATTATTTTACTACATGCTAGTTTTGAAATTTTATTCAAGTAGAGTGTTGACCCTTGCTCTTATGTAATATTTACCTATTCATTTTCCAATAGAACATTAGTTTCAACATATTTTCAAAACTTATTCTTAGCACTTTATAAAGTTACTTAAAGTTACTTTAAGTAACTTAAAGTTACTTACTTACCTTTCATTTTTGATAAGTCTTCTTAAACAAAAGGAACATTAATTACTTTTTAAGTAGGTTAATAGTATATAAAACTAACATATGTATAATAGAGCTTTTTGATCTACACCTTTTGAAGTGACAGTAATTGCACATTGTTAGACAATATTTCAGTGCAATAGAGAAAATAAGATTGATAGTTTGTGGAAGTTTAGAATAGTGGTATATTTTATACCTATAAAAATAATATCAATATTCACAGAAGAGCCAAAATATGATCTATTACATTATCTTTGCTGTCTGTGTAAACCATTTATATAGTTTCATTTCAACTGAAAATAAACTGAAGTCAAATATAATAACGTTTCTAAAAGCCAGGATTTGTATGTTTTTAATTAAATAGTTTACATGGCTACCTATCTTAGGACAGTGATTCTGGTGGCGTTCAATTATTAGAACAGCTATTGCTATTGACCCATGATGTCCAAGTTTAAAACACAAAAAACAAATTTGAAAAACTAGCCCACACCTAACTATCTGACCCAATCATCTGGTCTTCAAAGCTTGGTGAAAGGCTAACATGGTTGGGTCTATCTGGATTTCTGGAGAGATACGTTTCCAGGATTAGGTGCCACAATTAAAACACAACTTCTGGATCCAACAGGATGACCCTGTTGAATGGAGAGAACCCAGCACGTGCCTTTTGTGCTCTATCTGGTGGGCTAAGCAGAAGCTATGGGAAAAATATTTTGAAAAAATAAAATAAAAGTAATAAGCTGATAACTATAACAAAAGGTCACTTTGGGAATTGAGACACTTTTTAAAGCAATTTCTGA